AGAAAGGAAGAAGTTTTTCTACACCTATCTGAGCTGGAATTCAGGCAAAGTTGTAGCCAGTCAGAGATGCCCTATACTTCCTTGCTTCAAGAAAGCCAGGAGCCCAGTGGAATTTAGATAGACAAACAATGTTTCAGTATTCATGAAGAAAACTTAATAATTAGCCAAAACTGTGCTGTGTTTCAAAACCTGCAGTTTCTTAGCAAAGACCCTGGTGATTTCTTATTTCCTCCAAAGTAGTTCTCTGACTTGTGCTGCAAAGTCGGAAAGCAATGTCTTTTCCCCCCTGATGCAACACTATCTGAAAACATAAGGTTACTCAACAGAATCGAATGGCCAACTCACTTGAAAAAAAGACAGCATAGTGGTCTGAATCTGAGTGGCAGAGAAGGCACAGCCTCTTCGTGCCATTCAGACAGGAACTTCACTGAAAGTATTCCCTGCTTTGGCTGCCAAGCCAGAGCCCTCAGCCATCTGAAAAGTTGGGCACTTACAAATGAAAATGCCCTTCAATACTTTCAGTTTCTTTTTTGTTTTTTCTTATATCCATCAGAAAAAGGAAACTAGGTGTTTGTTTTTACATTTCTTACCATGAAATTTAGTGTTTCTTTTGTATTAATGCTGTCCTGTATCCTCACCCTAGATACATCGAAGGAGGGGAAAAGAAGTATCTTCCCAGTCTTTTTATCATGTTGTAGTGAGAACAGCCTGCCTCTACACTGGCTTTGCCACACAGATGGTCTAAGAAGACATGAAAAAAGGAGCAGAGCTCATGGAAAATTTCTTACAGGGTATGTGAGTTAGATATGGGCAGAGCCTCAGGAAGAACCGGCTGGTCCTAATCACAGCCTAGTCACCTTCCTAGCTCCTTAATTTGGATAACAGACTTTTGGGAGCACAGCCTACCCCATGGTCTCCTTATCCAGCTGACTGTGGTGTGAAGATGCCTTGGCTGAGACAAAACAGCCAATTTGGAGGAAATTTTTGGTATTTTTCCCTGTGAAATAACAACTTACTAAAAATAGTATCTGCAGATTAATACATTGCAGTTTGCAGACCCAGAGAAACTTAGATAAATTCACTCCTAATTCCTCCTTTTGCATACACTCCCTACATTTTCTCCTGAAATGAAACAGAATATAGAAATCCCATGTCAGTGTCACAACAGACTCCTGTAAACTTCTGCACTACAGAAGGGCACAAGGTTTTTCTCCAAGTTCATTACCTGACATAAATTTGTCTCTGATTATGAAACTTTAGAGGAAAAGGTGCACTTGGGGTTTTTTGCTTTCTTGTTTTTTTTTAATCTTGGTTGTTTTTTAATTACTCTCTTCTCTAAAATTAAATTCAAATTGCATTTTTGGTATATGCCATATACCTATAACAAATTGACAAAAAAAGAGCAAACTGATTTTTCTATCTGTGTTTGCAGTCACAGAAATAATTACCCTCTAGCCTCAAGAGGATGACCAACATAATATGATGTAATGTAATTCCAAAGTTGCATCAATGTTTTTTTCACCCTCACTGGTATTATTGCGTTCAAAGGAGATATTTGTTAAAAATAGCTTGGATACAAATCCAGTAATACCTCACTGGCAATGAAACCTCATCTCATGAAAGGGAGAAAAAGCTTTTCAGCAATTTAATGTGAAGCAGATTTACACATTTACATTTTAATTGCAATATGTTAAAAGCAAAAAACCCCCAAATAATAAACACTCCTCCCAACCTCCAAACATAAAAGGGTTATTCTTTCCAGGTAATAGTGATTTTCAAAATCTCCTCAAGCTGTTTCTAATGCTACAGTGGATAGGATTTCTATAAATGAGAGAGAGGCTGCTCTGCCTGAGTGCACATATTATAAGTGTCGTGACACACTTCTGTTTTGCTTAGAGATTACAAATGAATTCTTTATGAAAACATCCTCATATTTTAAAGGAAAATCCATCTAATCCTTTCTCACTTTGGTTCCCTGAGCTCCCTTTTTATTCACAAGATGCAGGAACCTCCCTAAGGTGGAGCATCCTCTGGGATTGCATCCAAAGATCTCACAGGATAGCTTCAGTGTCAATAAAGCAGAGAAGCTCCTTTTTGTTTTTCCTTAGCTCCCAAGATATTTTGATTGGCTGACAGTGGTGAAAGAGTAAACAACAGGGAGGCTGACCTGACTGGGTTCTGGGAAAACAGACGGAAGAATTAACCAAAACTTCATCAAGAAAGAATCAGGCACATTACATGCATCCATGTGGTTGGAAGCAAAGCAGATCTTTTTTAAAAAGTCTCTTTTTGCAGGATGAAAGGTCTGGTAGAGAGCACCATTCATGTTAATGCAGTTTACTTGGGTCTTGCCAAAGCATTTCATTTCATGGGCATATGTTGGTATGATTAAAAAGCATGCATTGTATGGAATTAAAAGGATGTACTCTGGAAGAACTAAAAGCTGGCTCAGTGACAGATTGCAAAGTGGTGAGAGTAACGAGTGGAACTATTTCCAGCAGATTCCCACAAGGATCAGTTCCTGGTACAACATCGTTTAGTATGTTCATCACGTGTCCAAACAACGATGTAAAATCAGTCCCAAGATGGTTGGGGGCTGGAGCACTTGCAGTGTAAGAAAAGGCTGGGTGAGCTGGACTTGTTCAGCCTGGAGAAGACAAGGTTTCAGGGAAAGCAAGAACTGCCTATGAGGTTAAAAAGAAAGCAGAGCTGGGTTTTTACAGAGGTTTCAGGGAAGAGAATAAGAGACCATGATAACAAATTGAAAGAGGGAAAGTTTCAACTGCATATAAGGAAAAAGAAATCACTATGAAGCTGCTCAGGTGGCCGGGGGGTATGAAATCTACGTCCTTGGAGGTTTTTAAGATCTGATTGGATGAAGCCTGAAACACCCTTATCTGAATTGAATTGTCACCTTGTTTTATGCAGAAACTTGGACTAGATGAGCTCCCACGGTCTCCCCTTTGGAGGAATGTAATTGGGTTGATTCTGCCTGGAGAGCGATTTGGGAATCCTGTTGAATAACTACTTCAACATGTGTGCTGTAATGTAAGGCTACAGGGAAAAGCAATGGCTGGAGGTTATTTGGTCACTGCTGTTAAGCCGCCCCACACAAAACCTGCTACCTTTGCAGAGCAGAATTCCTAAAATAGAAGCAGCAGGAAGTGAACATCAGTCCCTCGGGTACAGCCTGTGAAGTCTTGCACTGCTGCCCAGTGGAGCTCTTCTTCATCTCCCGAGCTGCTACTTTTGCTGTGTAAGTGGAGAGAAGGACAGCTAGGAGCTAGATCTTTTCCTAGGCATGCTATGCAGCATTTCAGAGGGAGGTTTGCATCACCAAAAACTACAGCAGAGCAAAAAGACATTGCACTACTGGGGTGAGTGGGAATACTTAGGAGCTTTCAGGCAAAGCTATAGCAAGATTCAGAAACTGGAGGCTTTAAGTTAAACAATATGAAATTCTAAATAAAAGTAAAGTTAAAAAATGCCACAGCTTCTCTGGAATGAAGTTGAATTCTCCCTTGTTGCTAGTCAAAAGTACTAACTGTACTTTACTGCAGAGCAGGTGGTCAGTGTAGATATCTGTCGGATCATGACTCAAGTGACCAGCATTTGCAGTCAGGCTCTCACTGTTCTCTACTTTAAGCACTTTTCTCTTCCTGTCTGACTTGGAGCTGTTCTAGAGTGTTTATGAATGGCAGAAACCTTTTAGACAACTCCACATTGATACAGAAAAGCCTTTTTGCAGCAGCTGAAGGAATAGTGTACATCGTTGACCACACACAAATGTAGTCAGAGGTTACGTGAACAGCATCATGCTGATGTGCTGGAGCAGTGGGACCCTGACCCATACTGCTGACTAGGAAGGCAAGCAGCCATTAGATATACTCGTTAGACAACAGATAACAACCCTCCTGGTGTGTTTTGCTGCACTTGCTTGTTAAGTGGGATCCATTAAGATGGATTATCCGATTTGCGTGTAGTAGAAATGCCATTATGATAAAGCTCACAGACTCAGATAAATTCAAATACCTTGTTTTTAAATAGAAATCAGAGTTCTATTTTTTTCTATTATGTGAAATCCCCAACTCTGATGTCATTTGAGGAGGGTTTTTTTAAGGTGTATCTTAAGTGATGCAGTTATTGACTAACTGCTGGTTTGGGTTTTGACACCAGAGGACTGTGTTGGCCAGACCAGCAACCTCCCAGATTATGACTCCTTTTTTCTTCAATAACAACTGATCTGAAGAAAATGGAACTATAATCTAATTTTTTAATTTAATAATTTCTTACAGTCTAATTTTATACTGAAGACTAACTTTATATTCCTAGGTGAAATAGTTTTGTGGGTATTTTTTTCCCATATGGAGACAATGTGTGTCTTGTGTACGTGTTTCATACACAAAAATACACATTGATAAGAAGTCTCTAAACAGATGACATAGCAAAACCCTGATCACTTTAGAAAAAGTAGACAGACATATATATCACTATGTTGAAAAAGTTGGAACATGAGTGGTATAATTTTCATATCATAGTTAACTAATTACCAATCTGCTTTTTGACAAAAAGTATCAAAGAGTATATGTTAGACGTACATGTGGAACATAGTCTGCTGGATCAATAACCTCTTAGGTGTATAACCCCTCCACAGCAACTGATTTTTTCATACCTTTACTTATTTAGCAGTAGGAAAAGGACAAGAGACAGCCAGGCACAATGGCATCCAAAGGGCAGCATCTTCAGATGCGTGGACAGAGCCAAGGGCAGAGTGCTGGAAAATGTAAGACAGATGAGTACAGCAGTGACGGCATTGAAAACAGGATGGTCGTACACTTGACAGGAGGTGGCAATATCATCTCTATCACACATGATGCTTTCACTCTACCATTAATCTCTTAAAAAATTAATTACAAAACATTCTTTACACTAGTCAGTTTCTGTTTTGATAGAAGGGAACAGGGTGTGCCACAGTTTTCCTTCTGTCATGCTGAGCCTACCATCCTTTTGTATTTTCTCTGTGAAGGATTTTTGTGACAATATTCAGTTGCCTTACACCTTGCTGATCATCGCTCTGCCCTTATCCTTCAGAGGAGTGGCAAAAGTTTTTCAGATTCCCGTCACATATCGCCCACGGACCATCTGCTCTTACCACTGTAACGAGAAATCACTTGGTGAAAGGTGATTAAGTGGTTACAATCCAGGACAAGGTTAGAAGCTCATTATGCTACTTCCCCTCCAATATTAAGCAATAGTGATAAGCCAAGAGTATTAGCTGATATGAATCAGTGCATTTCTGCTATTTCAATAGTGTTGCCTTGGTTTACATGACATTTAGCTTAAAAGCATTTACCATCAGGTTAATTTAGATCCCAGCCTTTGGTTAAAGTGGGTTTCTGTGTGCCACCATTTTAAAACAGAAACTTGGGATAATCAAGGAATATTCTTTTCCAGTCCTTATTATTGTTTTAGTCATCATAGATGGAATGCTTTAAAGATAAATAAGCTGTGGGGTCTTGGTAGCACTCATGATGCGAGAATTTGGTTTCTGTTTCCCCTCAGAGCACTGACGTTTCCTGTAAAGCTACTCTCACTCTGGATTTATGTACCATTTGCAGAGGAAGCTCTATCCACTTAAAGCTTCCAGTTTAGCCTTTGCTGAGTCAGTTTTATATATCAGACTGTTTAAAAATAAAAAAAAAAAAAAAAGGAAAGCAAAATGAAGGAAAAGTGAGCTTCAAATACAACAAATCTAGAGGAAGTTCACAGCTCCTTAACAGTTTTTGTTCTTAAAGCAAGCATTTCTCTTTCCATGTCAGGTCTCTGCTCTGATCTGCTAAACCAGAAGCACTCTGTGCAGCCATCCTTTAGGGTTGTGGATTTCAAGACAATCTCCCAAATAAGATTCACAGAACAGAACAGACTGGGTTAGCTGTTGCAGCACCTTTGTAAGCTAGAAAAAGCCACACGGAGCAGCAAAACTGGTGAGAAAAAAAAAAAAAAGTCCGGCAGTGTGATTCAGGACATACCACTTGAGGGGAATGATACTGTTGCTGTACTTAGGTTTGGAAAAAAATGTCCTGAAAGGTTCTCTTGCTAGCACATACTCTATTTTAGTTCTGGGACTCATCCTCTAATGTCATACATATTCTGAGCAGTAAAGGAACCACCTGATGTCCAGCTTCATTTCAGGGAAAGGGAGGGCATAGGTATGATGGGCACTAGAAGACAAGTTTGGACGTACTCAGATTACTGGGGAATAGTTCAAAGGAGAGACACCTTGAAAGGTCAGTGTCAGGAATGCACCATGCTAATGATGCTAACGATATAAACAACATGTGGGATAGTTAGGTCTTGATTTGGTGAAGAACTTATGTACAAGTCGTACTTGAAGCACCTGAGCAGCTGTATACATTTCAGCCAGGTGACCCACATGCCTACAGCCAACTTTATACCTCATCAGACAGGAGCTCCAAGCATTGCACAGTTACAGAACTGACTCTTCTTGGCGTTCATCCACACTCTTTGAATGCAAAGATTAGTGCATCTTCCGCTTATAAAACTGCCTTCTGCTGGTGGTCATTCTCCAAGCTACTCTGATTCATGGCAAAAGAAAAGCTTCCCCAAAGGATTCAATAGCTCCTTTTCCCCAAAACACACGCATCATCTGTATATATTTGTCTGTATCCCATCTATCCCCAAAAATTAACGAATTGCATCTGTGCCTCTATTCTCTCATATCCAAAAGGAAAATATTGCCTGAGGAAACAGTATTAAGTTTTCTTTTCTTTTTTCTTTTCTTTTTTTTTTTTTTTTTGCATGATAAGACATAATTTACTATTTGGCTTATTACCATTGATTGACGAAGTTCCAGAAAAACGCAAATCTTGCTGTTTTGAGATCTTACACTGACTGTAATTTATCACATCACTGGCCCTTTTAGCCCCAGAGACATTGTCCTAGCTTAGTAATCCCTCAGAGAATTCCTTCCAACAAATATAGAAGACTGTCATCATGATGAGAAAAAGCCTTTCCCCTAACACTGTTTATCATCCAAGAATAAATAGCAATGAAAAGAATGGGTTTTCAAGACTTTAGAGGTAATAACTAATTTGTCAGGAAGATATTGCTACAAGCATTGTACGTAAGCCACTTACCCTTTCCAGTGTCTCACAGTGATCTAAATGTCAATTAAAAAAAAAAAAAAAAAGGAGATGAAGAGATGAAGTTATAATGCTGCATCAACAGGCAGCTGTCCTAGTGGGCACTGGGAACACAGAATGACTCGCATTGCTGAGCAGTGCAGTCATTGCCAAAGAATGATGAGCTCACATTTCATCCCGATTCACATACCCGGTGTGGTCAGACTGAGGTTCACCCCTCCTCGCCCAACTGACGCCCCCTCCCTCCCTGCCCCGACACCAGATCTGGCTCGTTAACATGTCTGGAATGAGCGCGAGCCTACCTCTCAGCTGGCAAGCGCAAGGGGCATACTTGGATTCCCAGGTTGGAAGATTATCTCATTCAAGCACAGTTCTCCCAAAGATATATAAGCAAAGTGAGTGTGGTGGTCCCTGCAGAGCTGGTCTGAGCCCTTGGGAGTTTCAGCCATACAGGCTGTACAGGAGTACAACCTTGGAACACCAGCAAATATGACGATGATGATGAAAGTAGAAGAGCTGGTAGGTACAACCTTCTCTCATTTATTCACAATTACTTTTCTTTCTAGGCCGTCATTACAACAGGCAGAGAAAGATGACCTCTCTGGATCAGTGATTTAGCAGGTTACCAGCACTGCTGTGCTCTAGGTGCAAGCCCTTATATACTTTTTGTTATCCTATTATATTTTCATTTTAACTTTTATTTGGGAAGGGGGCTCACCACAGATAAAGCTACGTAGCTGTTTGGACTTTGCATCAGAGCACAGTTCACCAGGAAGCAGAGACTGACCAGATTTAGCTATTTATTTGCCTTTGTCCTGGATTTTAATTCTTTTTTTTTAGAAGCTAGGAATTTTATGATCACTCTAAGTAATTCCAATCTAATAAGGCACTGAGAGAAGGTATTAATGCAGAAAAATTGAAGTATTTTGTAATACTAAACAAACAGTTTAGTAATAGTTTTGTTTTCTAATAATACACTAACAGTTCCTACAACCACTGCTGTTCACGATGTAGACAAGCCTTTGAAAAATAATGTCTAAACCAGACCACAGGTGATGGGACATGCCACTGCAGATCAGAATGTCTGATCTGTTCGAGAAACTGGGAAAACAGGAATGATACAGTGAAGCACCACTTTTATTTTCCCAGATGACTATGTTAAGATATAACTGCCATATAGCCTAACTAGTTAATGTTGTCTTAAATTCTTTGTACACATTTAATTGGGCATCAGGAATATTTCTGAAAGCTACTGAAAGCTGTGCTGCTGTGCAGCACCACAAAGCCCCTGCACGGGAACAACCTTTTGCCATTCTCTTGTAAATGAGACTTTGGTACTGACAGAGATGGGTAAAACCAGCTTAGAAACTATTCAACAACCTGGTTTAACTGCATGGGATGAGTTTCAATAGAGCTGGAAGGTCCCAGTGGAGAAAGCCTCTCCTCCCACACTACCTGCTCAGTTTCTGTACTCAACACCCACAGGCTGAGGGTGGTTGGTTGTGGTGGCTCTTTCCACCACAGCCTTTTAGAGCCTTCTGGTGAGTCTGACACAGGCTGGCAAATGAACAAACAAGAAAACCCTGGACAAAAAGGATGCTCTTCCCACCCCTCTGGCTTTTGTCGATACAGCAGCACCTCAGCTGCAGCCAGGCAGGGAGTTAGACCGAGAGCTGGCCTCATGGATCTGGATCCAAGCCCTGAAGATGCCAAGGGTGAGTTGCTGTGTGCATGTGGGAAATCTGCCCTCAGGCGAGACTGGTGTACCCATTTGCACATGCAGCTAACCCAGGCACAGGTGGAATGATGTCTGCACTAGGTCTGTCACACATCCTGAGAGCAGGACAGGAACGAGGTCCACCCTAGGGAATCCATGTTCCCAGGTGATGACCACTGCAGTCATGACACTGGTGATTATATTATATCATGTTTGCATTTACAGGTAACTGGGAAGAAAGTGGACGATAAAGAGACTGGCAGCTTCCTCCCTGAGGACTTCAAAAATGGGGAGTATGAAGCTGCTGTGAGATTAGAGAAGCAGGATGACCTAAAGACAGTCTCTGAGCACTCACTGACCCGAGGTGATCTGGCTTACAAGAAGGAGAAAAACCTAGAAGCAGAGGTAGGCTCTTGGGTTTTCTGCTTGGATTTTTATCATCCTGTGTGCACTTCCTGCTGCTGTCCTTGAAGTTTTGCCTCTCTCTAAATTAGAAATACATGCATGTGAGCTAAATAAACCCTTGGGAGATCTCCACCAAAGGAGGTTGGTCTAGAGTACACTGAACACCATGGAGATCTGCTGACATCTGTAGCTTATGGCTGCAGGCAGTAATGCTTTGAGGCAAAACCCAAAACATCCCCTATAATGTCTGACTGAAACTGCAGGGGCTCCCTCCTGCCCAGAATCACCTGGTGCCAGCTGTCAGTAAGGGGGGAGCAATCAGAGCCAGTTAGCCACCTTCAGCTTCCACACCTAATGACTGCTTCCAAAAATAACTAGCGCACAAAAGATGTAAGAGTGCACTTCTGAAGCCAGAAGTCTTATTTACCATGAAAAAGTTCTTTTTATAAAAACATGTCATTACACTTACTAGCACATTTGGGAAGAACAATTACAAATAAAAGTGAAACTGGTCTACAGAAACGTACCATTTTCTATTCCTGGAGCATGACAATTCTCCTATACCTCTAAGAACTGATGCTTTTTTCCCCCAAAACACATCTTGAATTCTTTGGTGAATAAGAAACCAACTGGCCTAAAAATTTAAAGTGGTTTGGAAATTAAAGTTTAACTCGAGGGGGAATAAGACTTTTTTCTGAAAAATGAAGAGTAGGAAAGTGAGCATCAGAAATATTAGAATAAACACTACTACTTAACCTTCAACAGAGACATTATTTCTTGCTATAGAGGCTTTTTGAGTTCCTCCAAAACTGTGTCCTAAGAACTTTCTGGGTCTCCAGTTGATCCACAGTCCACTCAGCCGGCATAATTATCTTCCATTACATCAATGATCTACAGATCAAACCCTAGATGCAGACAACAATAAAAAGAAAAGGTGGAAATAACCTGAATAAGAATTCAGTTGACAAAACTGTATGCTGTATGACAGGGTATCACCAAGGTATTTATCCTTAATGACACCATGAATCTGTCATCTGTATTGACCGAGTTACCCCTTGTTTCTGAAGTCAAGGACACCTCATGGGATCTCAGTTCAGGCAACACATTTTCCCTCGATATTGACAGTGCCCCATACTGACTTCATGCCTGGATGCTTTTTACAAGCAGCCTTGAAGAAATCTCAAACATTTATTGAACTGCCCATCAAGGACACTGAGGACATTCTTTGTAGCTTACCAAAATAAAACACTTGCTGTCTGAAATGCTAAGATCGGTCTAAACCTTGTTCTTTACTTAAGGGTATGTTTTTAACCAAAGAGAATTAAGTTCCAATAAATTAATGGCTGCATCATAAAAGCAGTTGAAGAAAAAATGTTTGGCGGAAGTCAGCTACAACTGCAGGAGTTTCCCAGCTCTCACGAACTGCACATGAGATTTTTTAAGTTGTGCCAGAAGGGACTGCAGTGCTGCTCTGACTCCCAGCCTAAATTCAAGCTATCTAGACCACAGCACATGGCTGAGGAAGAACTTAGGAAAAGGTCCAATGGAATACGAAAAAGTATAGATAACAAAGAATTTCTTACCCTTAATAACTTATTCTAATGGTCAAATAGCCCTATCTGTGAATAAGAATATTTTAAAAAGACAGTTTATTTCAAAGTTCATACAGTCTTAAGGGAATTCAGCTGAATAGTAACATGCCGTCCTGCCACTCTGAAAAGGAAGAGGTGGTCACACAGCTCAGCTTGCCGGCTTCTCTGATTTGTTTCAGCTGAAGAAGAAGAAATTAGAGGCAAGGACAAAACTTGAAAACTTGGAGGATCTTGAAAAAATTATTCAGCTGAAGAAGAAGAAAAAATGCAAGAAAGTGAAAGTGCCTGTTTTAAAGGAACCTGAACCAGAAGTTATTGTAAGTTACTTCAAAGTACCTTTTTCGGGAGAAAGCAGTGATGGGTGTTTGTGCCACACACATTTATGCCCTCTATATTCTTTCCATCAGACAGGACCCGTGGATATACCCACGTTCTTTAAAGCTGCGCTGGAGAATAAGTTGCCAGTAATTGAAAAATACCTGTCAGAAAAAGGGGATCCAAATGTCTGCGATGAGGTACAATCTTCCTTCCTAATGCAAAGCTTGCTACATAAGAGGGGTTATTATAGAACTGAAATAACTTCTACCACAAAGTTTTGTAGCTTCCATCCTTATGAGGAGAAAAAAAGGGAAGGGGGGAGTAAATAAATGCTGGAAGTTTTGTACATCAAGTTTTCTAGTGATAAACAGGCCACTGAAACTCTTCAAAGTCATATTACCTCAAAAGAGTCTTTATATTTAAAAGAAAAGCGGTTGGTGCCCAGGAAACCCTGATTATCAGTAGAAGGTGATCTTCCAAAGCTACAGATGAGGAGATAAGAAATTTGTCTGCAGAAAGACAGAAATAAGTGATGCTGCCTGCCCTCACACTCCATAATGCATGAGCTGCATTTGCAAAATGCAGCATAGCATGTTGGATGGGGAACTCAACAGGCATCATATTAAATTTGAATGCCATACTGCAGATACTTCTCACATCCTTTAAAATGCTGGGTAGGCAGCTCTCAGCTATCAGGTTGCTATTAACATTTAGCAGATTTCAGGTTTCAAAAGCATAAGCTCTTAAAAACAAATCAGCACAGAGTATGTATTTGCCATGGTCCTAGAGGGAAGGGGAGAAAAGATTTTAAAGATACCCTTGTGCAATATGTAATGTCTGACTTTGCACTGTTTCAATTGCCAGTACAAGCGCACTGCATTGCACAGGGCATGCTCTGAAGGACATCTAGAGGTGGTGAAAAAGTTGGTGGAAGCTGGAGCCCGGCTTGAACAGAAAGACATGGTATGCACATCTACTTACACCTCTTTCCAAAAACTGCTTGTTTTTTTATAAGTGCCAGGAGAAGCACTTACAGAAGTGCTTCTTACAGAGAAGGAGCATTAAAAGGCCTTACGGTGTCTTGTGAGTTTATCCTTCAAATAACACTTCTGAGAAGAGGTTTCACTTTTGAGGAGGGGGTGTCTGCCTTGCTTTGCCAAAATGGTTTCTGGAAAACACAGGAAGCAGAGGAACACGCTGGCCAGTCGAGTGCCACAAACAGTAAAGCCTAACTTAGGGTAAGAGAGCTGAGGTCAGGCTACCACTTCAGCCTGCTAGCAGGTGCTGGAGATACCACTGTCCCACGCCTGTATCCAGGGCTCACTGCAATGTGCACATTCTCCACCAGGATTTCAAGGCTGGCTTGGGAGAGCCCCCTGCTCCTCTGGAATGCCAGCCACAAGGGCTGCTGAGTATCAACAGCTTCTGCAGCTGTTTTTTTGCTTTTCCACTCCTAGCTCTTTGTCCCTGTGCTGAACAGTTGGCACTGGCCAGCCTTGCTTCTCCAGCAGTGTTCAGGGAGGGTGTGAGAAGCAGGAGGAACAGGCAGAATGGGACCACCAAGGGACATTCCAATCTTCCAGCAGAGCTCAGGGCAGAGAAACTGAATCTTGTAGAGTAAAGGGTTCTAATTCACTTTGCGGATCTGCATAAGTTGTCGGGGGGGTTGTCTGTTTTTTAAAGAGAATCATTCTTTCCCTTGAGCTTAATTTTCCATGCATTTTAGAACACAAAAGGCACTGAATAAATAATATTAACTAGCACATACCAGCCACATACCTGGCAAAAGACAACTTTTACGTTCACAGAATAGACAAAACACATCCTCTCTCACAGCAGCGTTGCCAAGATCTCTGTCTTTAGGAGCAACGTGCAGCAAGCATGAAGAGTGAGAAAATCACAGCACTGCAGAAATTAGGGCAAAATAAGAAAAGCTGTTACTAGAAACATTTCAGTAATCACAGTGAAGTGCTTTAGGGTAAATTGCACAAAAATTATTTTTGATTTAGAAATTTGATCAAAATAGTTTAATTTTTTTGATATAATGATATATTAAATTCCTTTTGTTTTCCTACTGCAGCTTCAATCTACAGCTCTGCACTGGGCATGCCGGGGAGGTAGTTTAGATGTTCTGAAATTCTTACTGGACAAAGGGATAAACATAAATGCAAGAGACAAGGTATGTGCTTCTGGGACTCCGCAGCTTTTTTAATTGGAGATGAAAAGCTGATCCTTACTCCTAGTAGATAATTTTTCGCAGCTGTTTTTGAAGCAGCTTTTACCTGTTCCATGCCATTGACAGCTTCCTCTCCTCCCCTCTCAGCTGCTCAGCACCCCTTTGCACGTGGCAGTGAGAACAGGGCGATATGACTGTGGGGAGCACCTCATTGCCTGTGAAGCCGATCTCAACGCCAGAGACAGAGTAAGTACCAACGACCTCTTACCTGTCAGCTACCAGGTGGCATCAAGCTGCTGCCTGCCTTCATGGTTCCACTTGCCTGTAAAAACCCCTGACTGTGCAGTTGGGGCTGGACTGTAGTGCTGGGCTGGCAGGACTGACACCGTGGTCCATGTCTCATGTCTCTAGGAAGGAGACACTCCCATGCACGACGCCGTGAGGCTGAACCGCTACAAAATGATCCGGCTTCTGATTCTGCACGGAGCAGATTTAACTCTAAAGAACTGCGTAAGTAACAGCACAAAGATGAAGCAATTCAAAATGCTTTAAAATAAGTTTCCCACCAGAGCAGTTCTGTAGGTTTTGAGGTTGGGAGAAGCTACTGTGAACAGACTTAATTAGATCAATTCAGAGCTAATTGAAGCAGAGCTGAGGCAAGGAAAGTGTAACTTAGGGGAGGTCAGGGAAAAAGAGAAAAACCCAGTACCCCTTTTAAAACCAGAAAGCATCAGCTGCCACTTAAACAGCATCACACCTTTCTAAGATTTATTTTAATTACTCGTATCATACATTGAAAAGATATAATGGACAGACACTTGCTCTGCACAACTCCTGGACTTCAACCACCACTGAGACAACAAAGATTGTAGCTTGTCAGAGAAATCTCCTTTCTGTTAAGCCCACAGCTGATAGCCAGCCCCAGCACTTCATCTGGATGACTGGCTGTTAACCTTACCACTGAGCAAAAAATCCCTGCAGCTCAAGGAGCTTCAGTAAGTCCCACATCTGACTCAGCTCACAGCCACTGCAGCAGCAGCAGTGTTGCTGGAGCTCTGTGGCTACTTGTTAAAATATAGCATATCATAGACCCTTTCTCCCAAATCCATACCTAGCATCAGTAGCATGGGGTTTAGCATTGCCAATGTTTTTAAATGACAGTAAGTCAAAACTTCAGGGGATAAGGAAGAAAACAGTCATTGGAGCACTCTGCACTCCCTACTCTCTGCCCATCTCCCTGAACAGGGCTGCTCTTGGCATTATCCTTCATCAGGGTATGACAACGACAGAAGATAAAAGCCCCAAAGGCCAGAGACTTGCTGTCTCAAACTTTGTCTGCACACAAAAATTGGTCTTATTTAATTCCTGTTAATTCCTAATACCCAAATTAAACCAGTACAAACTCTCATCTGAATTCTGCATTAAGAGAAATGCATCTTATTGAGGTTTCACCTAAATATATTTCTTATCAGTTGAAACTAGAAAATAAACACCTGCATGTTCTGCTAGTCACAGTATTTGCCAATATGGTTAGACCCACTGAAATCCAGTGAGACTTCATCAGGAGTCTGACCAGGACTCTGTAGAGCAAACTACTCTGACCTTACGGAGTGAGACTAAGTCTTGAGCCTGTGTGTGCAGAGGGGTCTCATGGGATGCACTGAACAAGTATTTAAGAAAGAACAAGGACTCAGCCCTCACTGGATGAAATTAAATCATGCTTCCTCTGCTTTTTTAACCAGCAAGGGAAAACCCCCATGGATCTTGTTCTTCAGTGGCAGAATGGCACCAAAGAGATATTCAACAGCCTGAAAGACAATTCCAAAAAGAGTGTCCATCCAGGCAAATTCTGAAGAGAGAAACCAGACCACTCTCTTTTTGCTGCTTTGAAATGCTTCACACAAACCTGGATGAAAATGGCCTTGAACATAGTATTTCTATTGAAAATATTTATGGCACTGGATTATTTGAGGCACCTTCACTGAAAACTGCAAAAAAACCCCTAAACAAACCTGCAAAGAAATTATTTTAAAAGACAGGTTAAATGTTAAAATTCCACTGGCTCTGAAATGGTTTTATTTATTTCTATTTATTATTTATTTATTTAAAAGCAATTTTTAATTATTCTTAATATTATTTAAGTTTTTTTTTAATAGAGCTTTACATCCTAATGCAATCTTTGTCAGCAACATAAATCCTTTTGTCTTAAATGGCAGTATTTCCAACCATATTAGCAACTTTCCTCAAGCCTTCCAATAGCTCTAAATAGCGAATACTTGTAATTGTTGCCTTGTCTCTGCTGAATTCTCACTATTAAAATAATCTGTGAAATGAGCGGTGATATGTGGAAGGGCAACGGAAGAAGGTTTACTGAGGTGCCAAGTGGATTTAAAGAAGTAGTTGAGTAATGGTGTTTACACAGGGTTTGGCAAATGTGGTTGATAAAGAGCTCGACGACAGAGCTCCAAACACCATGTAACCATTTGGACTGGAGGATTCAGATGTAATGTTGTGAAGGTGAGAGGAGACAGTATCAGAAATGTGAATTTTTTTAAGCCAGACATCTAAAAAGTATGATGACCGAAGAATGCAAAATCAGATTATGTATATTTGTAAATTTGTACTGCTTTTTCTGTACATTTTGAACTGATACATTTTAGATTAAATAAACAGAGTGGTTCTTTTTATTTGCTGGAGTGGATGATGGAGTGGTGAATGTGTGAGGGGTTATTTTTTCTCTCTTTAAAGGAAGTTCACATCTTGGCCTCTGTAAAATTTTTAAAAACTCAGAAGAAAAGTCTCAGCTGCAAGAGCAGCCAGCCCTCATGCCACCTCCCTGCCACTATTAGATAAATCCCATCTCTTACTTATTTTAATGAAGGCAGATATGAAAGCAGAAAGACAGTACTTGAGTAAATAGTAAAACAAAGTTACATTTTTATTACTGGGTTTGGTTAAAAAAAAAAAAACTCATTTCTCAACAAGTCAGTACTTACTGTGTGGAGCACAAGACAGCTCCAGTTACCCAAGCCAAGGGAGATGCCAAGTCCTGTTAGGAAAAGCAGACACTTCTCTCTCCACTTTAGTAGAAGCAGGACAACCTTTGCAATGCTGCCATCCAGGGCACCGTGTCCCATTGCACAGACTCATAGAACAATTTGGGCTGGAAGGGATCTTTAAATGTCATCTAGTCCAAACCCCTGCAAAGAGCAGGGACATCTATTCAACCAAACTGCTCAGAGCCCTGCCCAGCCTGACTTTTAATGTTTCCAGGGATGGGATATCTACCACCTCTCTGGCCAACTTGTGCCAGTGTTTCACCACCACCCTCATTGTAAAAAACTTCTTGCTTATATCCAATCTAAATCAACCCTCTTTTAGTTTAAACCCATTACCTCTTATCCTACCACAATAGGCCTTGATAAAAATTCTGGCAAGATCTTACTTATAAGCCCCCTTTCAGTACTGAAAGGCCCCAATAAGATGTTACTGGAGCCTTCTCTACTTCAGGCTGAACCCAGCTCTCCCAGCACCTCCTCACAGGAGAAATGCTCCAGCCCTCTGATCATCTTTGTAGCTCGCTCTGGCCCACTCCAAAGGTCCATGTTCTTCCTGTGCTGAGGACCCTTGAGCAGCATGGACAACTGCAGATGGGAGAGAGCAGAGCAGAGAGGCATTACATGCTGTATTCATGCACCGAACACATTTTGCTTCTTCTCTGGTCACAGCATCACTTTGGAGGTAAGTCCATAAATGACAAACTACTGTATGCATATATATATACTACTCTCCAATACCTATAATAAAATGGTCACAAAGTCAACAAATAAAGTGGTCAAGTCACTAAGTCAACAAATAAAATAATAACATAGAGGAAAAATATCTCATTATTTTTTTGAATGAAGCAAAAGCTGCTGTGACTTACACCAGCATTATACAGAGCTGTTAAGTCTACTGAGAACTTCCTCTATTCTGCTCAGTCCAGTTACCAAGAGCTCAGAGATGACCCAATATTTTATGTGTTATGACTTCCATTTGTTGTCAGGTGCTAATAGAGAACTGGAATATTTGTAGTAAAGCTTACTCAAGTATCTTGAGTACAGTAGTTAATATAATTTTTATATTAGTTTATTAAAAGAAAAACTTCAATCAACATTTGGAAGAGCTCTGAAAATGCTCTGCTGATTATATATCTGTTATGACTGGTTTTTTTGGCAGCCAGATTAGGTTTACTGAGGCACTGGAGGAAGGAAAGGCAAGAGGCAGCAAAATGAACACGTGCATAGACAACAATTCCAGAACAGGACATAAAGAAGGAAATGATGCAGTAAAAATGATGTGACGTGGAGACTGTTCAGGCCTAGGTGAGACAGTTGTTACACTGCAACTGAAACACACCATGCTGAGCACACATTCAGTGTAACCTTGGGCTCTTCCCTCCCATCTCTGATAACCATCTAATGTTGCTGCTTGGTTTTAAGTGCTGCAGGACACTGATGGCCTTTGGGATGTATATCTGACAGGTTAGGTCAGTCACTCCTACTGTAACACAAATCCAAGATACCTTCCACAAATCCAAGATACCTTCTAGCAATTGACAAATCCTGGAATCTTCATTACAGCCACTGATCACAAAATGGACTGGGAAGCAGATTTTTTTTTTTACTGCACTATTATTTCTTCACAGGCCATTGAAGGTAAACTTCATCTACTGGCTTGCAATTGTACAGAGATGTGTTTAAAACTTAGGAAAACTGTAAGAGCTAGACTATGAAGGCATGGGCATGTGTTCTTAGAAACACTTTTAATAAAAAAGGAATGCACACGTACAAGTGAAAATTTCCACATTAGAAACATTCCATTGACTTTGCACTAATTCCAGGAGACCTAAGGCCAGGTGAAGTGTCAGTCTCCTGGCCAGAAGCCCAGCATGACCTTTCAGATGTGATGACCTACCAATCAGCAGTCTCATTCACACAGGTTTCTTCACTTGAACACCAGAGAAATAATTCTTCTCCAGGCTAAACAAAGCAGTAAGGGAGAAACTGGGTTGGAGGGTGGAAGAAGACTCAACACTGGGTAAAGAAGAGGCTCCTGTTCACAGTTGTTTCTCTCCTCAAGCTTGAGTCTTAGCTTTTTTGCAGGCTGGCACCGTTGTTTCTTCCTCCTCAACCTTGCGAGGCTTCTTCACCGTGTACACCACCCCACAGGCAGTCTTCCGAGTTTCTGGAATATACAAGCAGAAGCTGCAGTACCTCAAATAAAATGACACTGATGCATTAAGGGCATACTCAGTTCAGGTGTCCATACCCCAAAGCACAGTTCAATATGTTGAACAGCCAGCCAGTCAGCACGCACAGCACTGAAGCAACTGCAGGGGCAGGAGCTGGGGATTCATTACATTATGGAGTAGGGAAACTATGGGGGGGAATACAATGGTTGATGTTAAATTACAGGAAACAAAGGAAAACTGAGGTCTGCAGGGGCTGAGGGGCTGCAGAGACACAAACCCATAGGAAAACAGGCTTCATCAGTTCAGTAGTCACAGAAGGACACACTCTTTAAGCATTGTCAAAAGCATTTCTGAGCCAAAATTACTGTTCTTAAAAAAAATAAAAATAAAAAAATGCATTCACATATCCCAGGACTCCTAAACAGACTATGCTGGCACAGCTATATTAGCAGAGAATCCCCTACATACCAAATAAGTGGTTTTATGGTATTCAATAATTTTATTTATTGAATCCTCAACATTACCATAAACTACTGATAATGGCCAGTCTCTTCGCGAACGAAGAACCGGGGAAGGTCTTTCCACCTTCCAGCCTGCGCATTGGATTTTTTAGGTGAGACACAGTGTGCGCGGAACTGAGCCCACCCTTTAATCCTGAGGTTCATCTGCCGGGGCCAAGCACGCTTGGACGGTGGCAGCGAGGTCCTCAGGACGTAGATGAATTGCCTTATGGGCTAACGAGCTCCATCTGCCCGGGGAGGGGCCCCGACCGGGAATCGAACCCGGGTCTCTGCAGTGACAGTGAAGTGTATTTTCCCCTGGACCACCGGGGGCTCCCACCATAAACTACTACTAGTGTATGATATTACCAAAATCCTTATATTTGCCAAACAACCTGGTGAACCCAATCCAACTTCGTAATGACTGGTGGGAGGCTTCTCTGCAAAATTTGAAAGGAGAATAAATTCCCTACAAATAATCTGTTAGCAAAGAGGCTCTGAAAGGACCTTGCCAAAATATATTGACTTATTCTGGGCTAGAATTCTTTACGGGACAGGGAAACAACATCTGCTATTAAATTTCACAGACAAGATAGATGGCAGTCTTGAGAAATTCCACATAAACTTGACAAAAATTCTCTCAACACAATCTATGTCTCTATGTAGATAACCAGCAGGCTGGAGGAGGACCCTGCTCATAGGAACGCCCTCACCGAGAGATCAAAGCTACCTGCTGCGAATTATAGCAGGTTCAAGACCTACCTCTACTGAAACAAGAGATGAAAATCTTACTGTGCATTTGCACCTTAGAGCAACTCAAGTTGTTGGGAAGGTGACTAGAAATCATACCTACCCAACAAACCTTGACAGAGGCTGAAACTAAGAGCTAGATATGACTACTCAGAAAGTTAAACTGCCATCACAATAAAAAAAAAAATCAAGAAACTAAGAACCTGGTCTGAAAGAGGGGATAGTTTCAGTACAAAGCACAGCAGGCAGGTCCCTGTTTTGGCTAAACCGTTTAAGACTCATCAATGTGGTTACGCAAATGCTCCAGCACATACAGCACCACCAGTTCCCCCACTGATTTGCTAACACGGTTACATGGGAAAATAAAAAACCCTTGCCACACAAGCTCCTCTTCATTCATTGGACAAGGGAGCTAAAACTCTAATCTGACTTGCTTTGTAATGTCTCAGACCTTTTGGAAAATACGCATTAAGAGGAATTTATTTTAGCAAACGCACATGTTGCTTAGAGGAGCTTACAAGTGCTCACCTCCATGAAGCATGGTGGCTCTGCAGTTGGTGGACACAGCTGCCTTCGCTTCGCTTTCCGACAGGCCAAACAGCAAACCTCTGTCACCACTGCTCAGGATCAAAAGGCACAGAAAGGAGCAAACAGAATAGGGAAGTCTCTCTGCACTTAGGTTTGCTTACTCTACAAATAACTGGGAATTAGCAAAGCTGTAACTCAAAGTGACATTTTGCATAAGGTTACCCAGAGGCAGGGAACTGAGGCACCCAATTCTCCTGGCTGCAGTTCTCCAGCAGCCCTCCTGGAAAGCTCTTGGCAACATTGCTTTTTACCAGACAAGAAACTGTACTTTGAAAAGAAAAGTCTATCAATGCAGGAACATTTTAGATAGACGTAATAAAGCAAAAAAATCACCCCATGGAAAATTTCATTTTTGGGGAAAGGGCACTGTCTGATACAAAACCATCATGCTGAAAAATTTCCAGCCAGCTTCGGCGGGGATGACACCAGATTAGGTGTGTTAATTTGGTTTGAGCCTGACTGCTCATTTTAAGAGGGAAGAAAATGTTGCTCATAAAAATCCTTCCAGGCCGCATAACCTCCCACACAGTTCTCATGACTCAGAGAAAGCTCCTTCCCTTCGAGGGACAGTCCAGAGATGTGCTTGTGGGGTGGGGAGAGTAAAAAAAATGCATCTAAATTCCTAAAAGAAGGGAGGGAAGGACACTCTCCTTGGTTTCTAGAACACAACCACTTATTTAACATTACATACATAACTAAGGACTGGGAAATTCAGAAGCAATCAGCACTCAGGTAGAAACTTCTTCTAATTTTACATAAATACAATTTTATAGCTTTTGCTACCAAATATGTGGCACTTTGTAAATCCTAAGTAATAATTTCTTGTTTGGTTCACAGTGTCCATAGACTTATATGTTTTTAATTAATTTCTCCATTTACACCCACACAACATCAACGCATATCACAGCAAAACATACCTGTATCTGAACACGGACATTACTAACTGCAGTGACTACTCACACCACCCCATGACCAAGATCTGTTGCTCCTTACACACACACACAGAGCCCTGATTCATTGAAGTGGTCACCAACAAGTATCACTGTTTAAAGTTCAAGAACTGTAAAGGATGAAAGAATTTCAAAGCCACTTTGAACTTTCAAGTGTTACTTCTAACTGCTGTCTTTGACTGGGGAAAAGGATACAGATTAGCCACGTCATAAGGACCTCGTAGTTCTAGAGGCTAAAAAAAACCAAAGAAGTTTGAATAGGTGCATGCCCTCGCTTGCAGGTTGACAGTGTGAGCAAGCAGGACAAGGCTATCAGGAAGGCAAGATTAAATAGCCCATTATATCAAGTTGCTAATGATACACTAGGAAATCAAACAAATACCACTGTTTTGGCAAACAGAGTCCCCAGCTGGGAGAAAACTGTCATGGAAAATATTGCAGCAGCAAAAAAAAACCACCAAGAAACTCCAACAAAACAAAAACAACAAAAATCCCCAAACCCATAATACAATTCTTTTGTAAAACAGATTGATTAAAAAACTCCTGAAGATGGCAATCATATTTAAACTTACAATTTTTATATATTTAGTTTTTAATTAAAGCTGTCTTTTAAGCCACAGATAAATCTTTAAATTGTTCTGACTTCAAAAGAAAAAAAAATCTGGGACTTACCCTTTCAGCTGCACTAGATATAACTATGTTCTGGAAAACAAAAGAAGACAAACATTCATCTGTCAGACAGCATCAAGAAATGAAAAAAAAAAATCAGCAAACAGTACAGACTTTATGGGCATTAACTAAGTTCAGGCTCAGAGCTCAATTAAACATCAGAGTATCTGAGGCACTCAGATGAAGTGAACTTTAGCAGGGTCGGGATCTTAATTTCAGGACATGATTAAACTCAGTTATTGCCCTGTCCCCTACACAGAGAGGGGCACTGGCACAAGCCCTCCCTCGCAGTTATAAACCTCTCACAGACAGACAGGAGTTGAATAAGTACAGCACCTTTAAGAGGGACAGGCTAAGCAGTATCGCTCATAGTGGACTTCAAAGGGACCCTAAGGGTAAAGAAAAAAATGCAGAGCTGCAGACATTGTGCTAAGAAGTGCCCCCTTTATTTACACCAGCTGAAAGAGGTCCCCTACAAACAACAACTTCCCCTGAGCTGTAATGGAAATGGATTTAGGAGTCCAGGATCCCCCAAAAGCTGCTTACAGATAGTGCCTTTAGACAATTTGGTGCTCCTGAATTTTCAGCCTACTCTGTTGCAGTACAGCTTGATGCTAAGCTCAGCATTCATGTTGGCCTTAATCAGACTCACAGTGGTTCAGGAAACCTATCTACACTTAGGCAGTGGCTGCCAATTCGTGCCATACACTCATTTCCCTCAACACTGGCACCCCTGTGAAAATTGCCAGGCTGAAAGAAATCCTTCTCCCTTCACTCCTACGAGGTTTCTGCAAAATAGGTATGTGAGTACACAGGGCTTGGCAGATACCATAGCTCAGCAGCCAGAGCTTTTCTAAAGTTAAACCTCCAAGGATGCTCACCCAGGGGAAGACTGTTTTACACAGGTGGAAATGCTGCAGCAGCAAAACTGCCTTGCACCTTTTATTATACTGAATAAAAAGCTTTGGGAATTCTTGCTTGAGTGGGTGGGAATGAGAATTGTACTGAGGCAGCAAAAGGCTTTCCCTCTCTGGCATCAGTACCACCAACACATCATGCCAACTCCACTTTCAAGGTGGGGCTTTAGATCCCTTCCCCACACTGCTCTGCTTGTCCTGCCACCTCCCCAGCATAAAGAGAAGGACAGACACTGGAAGAAAATGCTCTGTGTGCAACTGGAACTCAACATGTGAAAGCTACATGACAATGACTGTATGTTCACACTGTGACCAAGGTTTCCTTGTGTGCTGACGAGAGGATGGGACAGACAATTCTGCCTTACCGTAAGGAAAGCCAGAAGCAGAAGTAATACATTCATCATAGTGACTTAACAGCACATGTCCTGATGGCGCCTAGGACATTTCTTTCTGCATAGTTCACCTTTAAATTGACTGCACTATGGATCCCAAGGGTGCTTTTGAGCTTCAGTGGTGCTGCCTGCAAGGGTTTGCTGGGAAAATTCAAATTTCCTGCTCCAAGCTCTAGCAACTAATGCCTGTGTCCCAGGCTCAGAGAAGCTCCCAGAGCAGCTGTGCAAGATCTTGAACCAGTACAGGATTGTGGTTCACCACTGTGCACTGGAGATACACTCTGCCTGGTTCAAAGGCAACTGGCTTGCATTAGAGGATGGGTAAGACAGGAGAAGAAGACAAGAGCAGACAAGAAAAGCACTGCTAGAAAGCAAAAAGAGAAGCAGGCAAAGGCAAATCTAAGGGGAAGGGCTAAAGGGAGAAACTCAAAGGCAAAACACTACCTCCCCAGATACAGGAGACAGCAGCTGTTCAGAACACTGCTCCAGGCAGCACTCCGACTCAGTTACCAAAACACAGGAGGTGAGGGACTGTGGCTATGCACACCTTCTGTCTAGCAAGGCAGGGAAGTCCTTTCTTCATTCCCTGAACACTTTAATATGTTTTAAGGACTCTGCACAATGCCAGATCTGAGGACACCAGTACATTTCTGTAAGTTTCTCTGCCCTGCTACAACAGAGAAAGAACAAAATGATCCAAAAGTTTCTACAAGTTCAGCAACTAAACGTTACAGAAGGCAAGAGTTGCGTGCCAGGTGCCAATGCAAGCGGCCTATAGACCAACCATCCCACGTCTCATTAAAAAAAAAATTTTGAAAAGCACCTTTATATGACTGATGGAGGCAAACTGTCAGTAAGGACTAATAACCATCTCTACTGGCTACAGATTGACAGATGCAGAATGAAAAGACACCATGCAAGCCTCAGCATCTGAACATCTCGCCCTATCTGTGACATCAACTCAGCTGGTGCTCTCCAAAACAACCACCATGTGAGAAGCACATCTTGAAATGCACAGAGGAAAGAGAAGCACTGGGAAAAAAGGAATGCCAAAGGAAAGCGGTCTGCTGTGTATATAATTTGTGTCCAAGTCAGTATTTTGTGCAATTAACTCCCAGAGCTGGGCTTCTCAGGAAAGGTTGTGCAAATACTTACTTTGTTCTGTAGCACCAAGGGAATTAACCTGTTTGACCCACTGTGCAGTCCTATAAAAGTTGCCATGCCTGAGGGGAACTGAGGTAATGATGGATCTACTTTTAATTTCCCTTCCAAGCTCTATATCCCACTTCACACTAGATTTGCAGGGTAAGGCCAATTTCAGCTTCTCTGGACTAGCTGTGGCAAAGGCCATTTCCAATAAAGTTGGCGGGAGCTACATTTCTTCTAACTTGGATATGTATTATGATATGCTTCCCTATTAAAAAATCATGGCCTGAGAGGACCCAGCATGACAGACAGCTTAACCTGGTAGCCTGGGAGGAGGGAAGTTATGAAAGCAATGGATTACAGGCATCTCAGTATTACTTCTTCCTTAGGTTTCAGTAGCATGGAAGAATGCAGTCGATCTGACTGCAGCAAAGCCTTGGCTGACAGCCAGCTAGCTGTTGGCTCTGTTTTGTACATAGGGAATTTACTAACCATTTAACAAACCAAAATTTCTACTTTTTTCTTATTGTTTTCTACCCCCATATTCAATGTATCAAAAAAAGAGCTTGGGGTCAACCAGAAATATGAAATGGGGGATTTGAAAGAAATGCATGGATTTCAGTTCTAGTGCAAACCTTAGCTCTTTGGAACTTTGTTCTCTCCCCATCCCCTCCCACCTTTGTTTTTGGAATTGCACACCATAAAAACACACAGGTTGTTCTGAAAAAGGAATCTAAGAGCTTGACAACTTAAGAAAGCATGCAGTGGTGAAAGGCTGGAAGTATCTGGAGCTAGAATAATTGTGTCCTTGTGTTAGTAGGCAAAGATTCAGTCACAGCTTCAGATATCCCGGCATCAAACTCATTTAAAATGGCTCAGTCTGTACAACTCTAGAAGAATTTGAACTGAATTAATTACCTTGTTTTCACTTTGAGAGCTTACCTTTCCTTTGCAGATCTGCATCAGGCTGATCGCGTTGGAAATTGTGTATCTTCTCATCGTGGAGTCTTTGATGGCAGGTGTGTAAAGAAGTTCAAAGTAAATGCCTCGATCTATTGCCTTCCCATGAAAGAGAGTAATCAAAAATCAAAAGGAGAGAAGCCGAACAGTCTAACAAGTGCTGTCTATTACTGATGTCACTTTTTCTCAGTTTAACTGTTTTATATACGAAGAAATTAAGGTGGAATTTTTCCAGCAAGAGCCCAGCATAGCATGAAAGGATCATAGGGGAAAGCTGCACTGTACACCGAGATATGTGTACTTGAATCTTGGGATGACAGATAAATGAGGTTTAACAAACAAAGAATTACCAGCCACTTAGTTGTTGTAATTGGCTTTCCACTATCACAGAGACGAGGAAACAGGAAAACACTGCTGCTCAGAAACAAGTCTTGAAACTTTGAGGACTCTACTCCTCTAGTCCCACACCCTGCTGTAAGAAAGATCACCACTTCCCACAGTATTTGTGTCTTGCAGATGAAGAATTTGTCCTTACATAAAAGCAGCAATCAAGACCCTTCTTCTCCTGTCTCACAGCATACTCTGGTATTTGTGACAATATTAAATAACACTGAGTCACAGAAGAGGTTCCAAATAGTAATACTGATTATATTTTCAGCTGCTTTAAAATCTTTGCTATCTGTCAAAGTACCTCACCAAAAGCCTAGTATTCTTGTTTAGGCAAACAGAGAAAGGTTAAGCTACTTGGTATAGGGCACAGTGCACCAGCGATAAAGACATAATTCAAAGCTGGGAGTTCTTTGGTCCATGGCCTATACTACATTTGCCTGAAGTGATACTCTGTGCTTTATACTCGTATTATTAAAATATGCAGCAATGCTAATACTGTAAGAGAGTCCAGTAACTGAATACAGATGGAATTAATCCAGCTCCCATCCATGCATGACCTCTGCGCGCAGGCACAACAGAAGCTGTGTATGCATCAAATGGTTTACACAGAACTGCTCTGACATCTGTAAACAAGAGAAGCCTGAAACTTTATCAAAACCAAAACAGGTGATGGCAAGACACCCGTTTCCAGTCAAGTAGATTTTTAACCTCATCCCCATCACTTCAGCCACCTGCCAATCTGTCTGTCTGGCATCGTAACAACCAAAACTGACTGCCCCAGGATGCACAAAACCAGTCCAACAGACAGACTGCCTTGAAGCTGGGAGTGTGAAAGATGAGAAGCAGTTTGTAAGGAAAATGTCTCCCAACACAGGGCTCCAAGAGCCACACAGCTCTTTACCTGGGTTATCTTCTAGAGTTTTAGGCAGCTAGGGTACTCTCAAACAACATTTCATACAAAACTGTTATTTCAGATGGAATGTTGAAGTTCTCAGTTTATAACAAAATCTGATGTAATATTTTTATTCTGTTTCAGAATTAATTCTAGCTAATTTTTAATTTTTATTCTAGGTTAAACTTTCTGAGAAAATGAAGCAGGATTACTAGCCAGTTCCAAATTTAAATTTTTAAGCACTAAGGACTGCATCAGTCAAAAATGCCCATATGGAACAAACCTGGACATATATTCAGAGGAGAAAACTAGTTCACCAAAGAGCATGCTCAGATTAAACTTTCTGGCAAGCCACCAAAGTAGGCAGAACTGAATTAAAAAAATATTAGATCCATGCTGATAGCCATCTTGTATCCCACAGCAGATATTTAAAAATTTCACATTTTGTTCAATTTCCAGACATTACTTTGTCTAAGTGTGGATTCAATGCAGTTGTCTTCCAAGGAACCAGCACAACATCCTTCTCCTAAATTAACACTGTCATTCACATTTCTTATCTTTTAAATCAAGGGGCTGTTTATCTATTCTGACACAGCTGTACCACTTCTGGTTTGGGAAGCAGCTTAGTCAGCAATCACACCACATCTCATTGCTTGGCAGAGTAGTGGCCTTCAGGCCCTGTTTCCATTCCTTGGGAACACCACTTCTGCCTTCTTAAGTGGGGGACAGAAGGAGAAAAAGAAAGAATATACATCACTGTGTATTAAATGCTGCAGTGGAGGCCCTGAAGAGAGGGACATCTGGAACAACACTCTAAATTATGCAAGAAAATAAAAGAACCACTTGGATGGGAATGGTGGGAGGAAAGGGGCAGAGAATTCAACTCAAATTCTGTATTTAATGTCAGTTCAGTCTAACAGCAAGAAAACAATTTAGATGTAAATTTACCATATTCACAGGGGGCCTTCGGAAGTAGAATGGCAGCTTTTCTGTTACATTTATGCATACCAGATCCACATCTAGAGTTGTGCAAGCAATCTACAGCAAAGAGATAGGGACGGGTTATTAGATATGCCAAAGAAAATGCATAACCAACTTTAGGTACATTAACGTTCTCCTTCATTTCTTAAAGCAACAAGCATCTCTCCAGGGTCAGTTCAGTTTTAAAATTAAGAGGTACTATGCCATTCAGGTATGCCAACAGAACAGCAGGGCTACAGATGCACAGCCTGAGCATCTGAGGCTTAAACCCCAAGTCTTCCCTCACTCAGAGAGCTACTTTTCCACTAAAATAATGACCAACCCCAAAGCAATACTTACTGCTTTGTTTTTATCTGACAGACGACATGCAGAAGCAATGCTGGCTTTTGACAAAAGAATTCACAGGTTCAGCCTGTGACAGGGACAACCCCAGTTTATAAGAGGGAACAACCCAGGAACTGCCCCCTATCCCATCATGCTCTACTTCCAGTGCAGCACCTGTTTGTTTTCAGGATTAATTATTTTTACCAAAAGCAACAAAGATTGAAAGAAAAACAGAATTGTAGACGGTGACTGGCGGTATCACATGTCCAGTACTGGAGACTGATCCACAGAGCCTCTCTTTTCTGACTGGGTGGAGAATGTGAAGCTTTTCCTGAGAGCCACACCTTTGGTGGGGTCTGAAGATGGCACTGAAGGTTACAGTTTAAAAGTTGAGCTTTGAATTCATACCACAATTTACAGTTGTATTAAGAGATGGAGGTAATGAACAAAGGGTGGAGACTCATCACACTGAGATACAGGGAAAATTAACTGCACGTAAAAGGGAGCCCTTGATTTTCATTAACCTCATGCACACAAGGTATGTAGGAATTATATGTGCCTATCCGATAAAGATGAGTACGAGGGGCCAGACAAATATCTGCAAGCAGCGCTGTAACAAAGAAAATAAAATAGGTTGAAAAAGTTGAAAAGGAATTTTCCGCGTGTAGAGGAACTCTCTGCTTTCAGAAACCTGCCAGCAACTGCTCCAAATACACCTGGGCCAGGTGCCAACCATTCATCCCTCCTCCCACCAGCATGAAAGCAGTGGGGGAGGTGGGCAGTCCCAGGGGTGGGTGCTCTGATGCAAGGCAGCCTATTGCTTTGCAAACTACTCTTCCACCAGTTTGTTCGCACGGAATTTGGATGGAGATGAGAGCAGAGGCCCAGCTTTAGGAATGTTTCTTAGCTGTTGATAGCACTCCCTCCTAGACAAGAAAGCCACAGCACACATGCAGGCAAACCACAAGGTTTTTGAAGTTAAAATATCTCTACCAGGCCATTCAGACTAAACTTGATCTTCATGCCCTACCTTTATCAACTCTGTTAGGCAGGACGCTGTTGGAATCTATTGCATAGAATTAAACTCGCATGTGGAAGTTCAGCCCTACTACAGCCAGTTTTCTTCCTTTTCTAACATGAAATATAAACTACCAGACAGAGGTGATTTACAAGATCATGCACAAAACAAATAGCTGTGAATCATGTTCTTGAAAGGATGTTGGTGAGGCCATAGAAAATACAGGAAGAGATAATGCTAAAAATGAAGGAAAGCAAGAATAGACATCAGAAGCATTCAAGCTTTGCTATGTCATGGCAAATCAAGCCTTTCTAATCAGCTCCAGAAACACTAGAAAAGTCTTTTCCAGTTTGCAAAATGGGTACAGTCAGAGAGTGACTCAAATGCCAGGATATCTACAGGATTCCAGTGACCAGAACATTTCAGAAAATACCACCGAGCAAAAACAAAATTAAGAGTCATACTTCCTCCTGAGGAATTCCTGCACTGCATGGAAAACTGAAGAGGAGATTATTCCATACACACTTATGTTCAGCCAAGCTCTGGCTCACAAGTCACACATGCAGGCAACTTAAGGTGACCCTGCCTGCTGAAAGGATCTGAAGTGCAACAACTTCATACAGAAAATGACATCCAGTGGTTGCACAGCCCAGCACCTGCCTGGCTGCACTGTGGGCAAGAGCCCCACCTGCTGGGAAACTCTAGACAGCCATAAATAAATAAATTTGCCACTGTTAGGATGCTCTGAAGCAAGCTTTGGCAAATATTTTGGGAATAAACATTGAAATTTCACTTTACACCACATCCTAAAACTTAAGTGAGCAAGGTTTTTTTAGATAGTGGTGATCTGCTAATTGCTTACAAACAGCAGACAAAGGCAAGTAATACAATTAACATTCAGAAATCTTAAAAAGCGAAAGTTTTGAAAAGCAACAGGCACAGACCTTGTTACTGGCACAGAGTGGGCATTCCTATTGCAGCCCAAAACAATCCTTTTGGGAGACTTAAAGAAGAAGCCTGTTCTACAATTGGCAAACACGGCTTCCTCATACCCTTGAGGTAATGCTGTTACCAAAAGCCAATTTTAAAATATGAAGTTGATTTGTGACCCAAAGATGGCTTTCTTCCTAACACAGAAACATCCATGAGTCATAAGAGCTAAATGCAGGTGCCAAATCCCCATGTGTAATGTCACTTGTGTCAGACTCCCCTCTGATACCTCTAGAAAATTGACACAGCTCTCCATAGAGAGTTTAGAAAATTTAAAATCTTAAATCAAAAGACAAACATTCAAACCTGCCCTGCACATGAACATGTAAGGATGAAGTCTTTCATGAACATGTAAGGATGAAGTCTTTCACCTCATGTGGTTTTCAAGAAACATGCTTGGGTTCCATCCCCAGCTCTAAGTTCTGCCAGCATGGAAGCAATAAAGATGATCTCACTGACAATCCTGATTCTGTCCTAACACACATCACTTGCCAGAGTGTCACCTTAACCAGTCTCTATCTGCACTGGCCTGCCCAGAGCACAGCCATCCACTCTGTGCCAGCACAACGATCCACACAGCTGAATCAGAGCAGAAAAGCGGATCTGCCTGAAAAATAACTTGGCAAAAACTCCGGTTACTGTTCAGCCAAAAGCATGTTCCTCATAGCAAACTGCCAGGCAGCTAAGCATACAAGCAGCCTCACCAGTAGAGCAGTCAGGGACCTGCAGAAAGTGTTTTTCATGCAGAAATGTTTATGACAGCTTAAGCACCGCCACAGCTGGATGTCCAACTGCAGCAGGACTCATGATATGGCTGAAAATAAACAATAATCACCCTTAAATGAGAGCCCATCCTTTCTCCAGAAAACAACACAGCATAAACCCTGCTGATTATCTAACTTCAGGCACTTGTTTAAACATATGATAACTGATTGAGCTCACGTAAGAAGTGAGATTTTATACCATTGCCAGAGATCAAAAAAGAGGTGGAGAGTGGCCCTCAAAAGTATTTTACAACCGTTTGCCTCCATCACACCCCCAAGAGTTCTAAAATCTTGCATGGGAAATAAAATTCAGAAATTAGTTTCATTAAGCTGTAACTGTTACAATTAATGTTTGAATTCTTCTGCTGAAAGATTCCTTAAAGTTCACCTTCTACAGCCTTTTGCTTTATACTTTACTTGGATAAATCTTCAAAAACGAGGGGAAATAAACTAGAAAAACAAAACAATGTAATTTTAATGTGTCAAAACAGGTACTCAATAGTACTAGAAAGCAGCCTAAACTTATTTAGAAAAGCCAACCACCAGACTTAGCTTTAAACTGACAAGTTCCCTTTGAAAGTAAATTCTCCAAAGAGAGTTACATTTGTTTTGGGTGTCCCTGTGCCTCCTTAACACTGCCTCACACAGTAAGCATGCCTGCTTCCTCCTGCCAAGGCTAACAGAGACAGGATGCTTCCATCTACTCTCACAGTTCAGACTTAATGATATTTATGAGCTTACAACAGGTCAGACATCACAATATTGGGTTTTGTGAGAAAAAATCAGATAAAAACATCATTTGCTTTAAAGTGCTCCACCTGATAAGAATACTGACGTCAGCTGCTAACAAGTATTTGAGAACAATTTAAATAAAAATTATTCACACCCACTATTTTCTCTCATAGTGGGAGCCCTACCACTGCTACAAACATCAGCACCTGTTCAGTAACACCTTCAAAGACTCACCAATTTTGTCGAGGTAGTTTTCAGTTGCAAGTTTACTCTGAACAGTCAGGATAAAATCTGAGTGAGAAAATGACCGTCTGCCCTTCAAGTGTTTCCCCTGAGGCTGTTCTACTTTTGTACAGCCTCAATGGTTTTCTCAGCAGGCAAAGTAACAGATGTATCATGAAATCACAGAAATGAAGCTTCTCTCATTCAACTTAAGCATCCAAAACACTCAAAACAAAGACAGAAATCTCAGTCTGACAATGGAGCAAGGGCTACTGGGTTTAATTAGGCATATTTACTTCTGGAAATCTTAGTTTATCTGTTCATAAGATGCTGCAACAACCGCAACTGGCTCTGTCTTGTAAGCTCCTGCTCTTCTTTTAATTTAAAATAAAGAAGGAAAAAGAAGAAAGACATGCCAAAGCTATTCTTTTGGACAAACTTTCAGGAGAGGACCTAGAACTAAAAGGAAGAAGGTAACTCTCAGAACCACATTAGTTGCACTTTAAAATCCTCCCCAGCATTTCAGAGACCTGGAACAATCAATGCTAACGGAAGATCAAAAGCGTGTTTTGGGGAAGTTAGAGTTTGAGACACTAAAGTTCAAGAGAGAATTTTTCTACATGATGATAACACACATATTTCAGGGGGAAAAAAAGGATGTTTTCTCTGCTCACCAGAGTACAAGACACACACAAGGCAACCACAGTGCAGGGGCAGACAAGTCCATTGATCAGATAGATCAGGTAGATGTTTCAGACTCTGACCTCTCACCTTGCAGCCTCCTGCAATCCCTCCCGACCTGCTCAGACTATTAACTGACCAGGCAGCCTGTAATGTTTAATTAGCCCCGTAAGGTCTTTATAAAACAGGAAATAAAATCAAAACAAAGCATGTACTTAAACTAGCTTAAGGCACTAAAAGTTATTGAATAAGCATTACAGATCAGACAATTGTACTTACATGAAACAGCTTTTCACTCTTTGGAAATACTGCTATGATGTCATATAACCTTATATTTGCAGATGTTGATCTCTACAAAAGGAGCAAAAAATTACTATCTTTAATTCTGGCAGAAAAAAAAGCTATGCACAATGATTAAAACCAAAATAATGAGAAGAAAATTTCTTTTTCCCTAGTACTAAAACAAAGCCAATAATCATCCAATCACACCGCAGGTCTCTACTGTAAAGTCATTCATTCTCAATTTGAGCCTTATTGCCACCCACCTACTAAAGCACTTACGCCTTTTGCTTCGATCAGGTAACACTAAACCAGACACAAGGCTTGCTCATGGTCTTCCAGTTTATGCACAGAACAGAAATCGAAGAAAATAACCCAGGAACAGAACTATTGTTCCATACTGACACATGACCAGCAGAAGCCATATCCAGTCTTGTAAGTCTGCATCTCTTCATGATCACATTAACTGTTAAAGAAGCAATCTGCAAAATCACTGCTGAGTGCCCTATAAAATCTAGGGAGTTCTCCCCATAAAATTTCCAAAGTTTTATTCATTCACTGAGAAAAAGAAATAAAAATTGGAAAACTGATTGCTAAATATACTTACCAAGAGATTGCAGTGGGAAGGATCAGAAACAACAAGTGTTAGCCGGGTTAAGACTTTAATTCTTTTAGATGTCCCCTACAGAAAAAGAAATAATATAAAAGACTTAAAAACCATCAAAGAAAAAGTTTGTGGTGATTTCCATCCAGCCTGCTATAAAAAGAAACTGGTGCCTTGCTATACTAATTTTCCCTAATTTATATTATCTCTTTGATATTTACTTGTCCTTACAAAGAATGACAATGTGTTTCTCTGAGTAAGGGCCAATAGAAAGAAAAAAGAAAGAAATAATAAAAAAAAAATCATGCAGAAAAATTGACTATGTTTTATTACTGCTGTGATTCCCCAGCTAGGCCACTGCAAGTTCCTGAATTAAGCAATATCAGTGACCTGAAACAGTCTTGTATTTTATTATATCCACATTTTGCTCCATCAAAACCAGGAAGTTATTTCCAAAACTCAGATTTCAAGAATTTTACTGTAATTATTCAACGACAAGCAGATTCAAAATTCACACAAAGCAATCTTTAAAAATTTCTAAAATAATGAAGAGACAACTCTAATGTGAGTGTACCATTCTTTCAAAGCCTGGTGTTTTTAACCATCAAACAATGTACAAATTTCTTTTTTCTGATTAACATCTAATATACAAAATCACATGTACAAACACACCAAGATAAAAAACTTAACTCAAAATAATAATACACAGAATGTAACTGGACATACTTGTACAATAGGCAAACATGGAAACAGCTCTGAAGGAGATACTGGCTTGATGATTTCCTTAAAAGAGAGCAGAACAAAGTTATTAAAAACATGATGGGTTAGGTTTACAAGTAAACAAAAGCTGTGTTCCAATCATGAGAAGAAATTTACCATACTAACAAAACTATTTCCCTGGGACAGTACATGAACCATAATAAAAATTAACCACAGGGCAATAATACTAAATTATAAAATGGGAGCTTTGTTACAAATACAGAGGTTTGTACTTGTGTCTAGATGTGCATTCTGCAGATAAAGCTATATGGGAACATGCAATAAAGCAGTAGGTTTACTAGAGAAAATACAGTGGAAAAAAATAACCCCAAGAAAAATTACCTGTTTCTTTTCTTTTAAATCGATGACATGATTAAGAGCAACTGCAGAATATCCCACTGAAAAACACACAATAAGAGTATTTTGTCTCCATTAAACTAATGGAAACAAATCCAATCCGAAAACTGTTAAACACTCATTACTTAAAGCTCTTGAAATTAATAAATCAGGAGCATATTTAGCTTCCACATTATTTTTTTTAGAAGACTGGTTCACCCAAAGAAGTGTTTTAAAATAAACCCAAATTGTTTGCCTTTTAACATATCCCAGGCCTGACAACTTTCACTCAGTGGCAGAGCTTTATGACCAGGAATACTTGGGGTTCGCATCCTCAAAGATTTGGCCGAGTTTGGCCCTGTTTATGACTTTCTTTATGGAAAATTGTTAAGTACATTCAGGATAGTTCTTAAAACTGCAGACGACGCAGAGCTGGGAGAGAAACAGCTACTGGAGAAGGCAAATGTGAGGACTCAAAATGATGCCGACGAAACTGAAAGGTGTCGTTCAGAAGGGCTCTGAGGAAGATAATACACTTGACAGGGGCATTTAAATCACCCCCAAAACACTGGGCAGGCAGCACCCGGCTGTACAACAGTTCTGCAGGAAAAGAGACGGGCCGTAAGAAACTGCAGCCGGAAAAACTTGCCTGCCTTGGGAAAAACTCAAGTGTTACGCTGGGATAAGCAGACACAGAGCCTGCAAAGCACACCACGAGCTTCCCCTGCCGCTCAGTCCCGGGCACTTGCAGAGAACTGCGGGTCGGGCAGGGAGAGCGCAGAGGCGCCAGGGAAAACGCGCCCGCGTGGGAGAGGAGCTGGCCGGCGTGGAGGGAAGGAGAAGCTCATCCCGGAGAGCCCGGCTGCGCCCGCCCCATCCCGCAGGCTCCGGCTGCGCTCCCCCACGCGGCGCTGGCGGCCCGCTGCCCCCCGGGCCGGCCCCGACGCCCCCCGCTCGGACTCACGGTGCGCCGCCGCCTCCAGCAGGCTCTGCAGGGACTTCTTGTCGGGCCCCTGCGGGAGGTTCAGGTCGGCGAACCCGGCCATGCTCACGCCGGGGGGGGCGGGCCGATGCCGGGCACGGCAGCGACGCAGAGCAGTGGCACCGCCCCCTGGCCGCCCGCGGCAGCCTGGGGCCTGTAGTCCCGTCCCGTCCCGGGCCGCGCCGGGCTGGCGGTACCCGCAGCATCGCGGCAGCCGAGGGAAAGGGGGATACTCGTGGCCGCAGGAGCGCTCCGGCCGGAGATGTCCCGACACGGGGCTGCCATGGGCGGGGAAAAGCCCGTGGGTTGTCTTGCTCGGGTCGCAGGCGGGGTCTCTGAGGGAGCTCACTCCTGGCTCTGAAGGAGATCACCCCTGGATCTGAAGGAGATCACCCCTGGATCTGAAGGGGATCACCCCTGGATCTGAAGGGGATCACCCCCACTCCCTGCCGCTCTCTGCAGCCGGAGCGGCGCCGGCCGAGGCTCCCCCCCCTCCTCGGAGCCGCCGTGTGCCCACCAGGTGGAGCGGTAGCTTTGCTGCACTGAAGTGTTTATCGCCTGTTAAACTGGTTGAGCTCCATCTGAACACTGTCAATAAAAAAATAAAAGTAATCCTTTCTAGTTATTGCAAGGTCTTCTTTTTACTACGTCAGTTAAAACATGTGAAACAAATATCCCCTGGCATGCAGAAGGGCTGAGGAATCTGTAATCAGATGCAAGTTCACTGTATAAGCACTGCTACAAAAAGCACGAATGTTATTCTCCCGTTAATAAATAGCACAGAATATATAAAATACAAATGGCAATTACCACTAGGGGTTTTTTTGTTTGTTTATTTGCTGACTTAGAGCAGGTTTGAGATTCCCGTCTGACTTCAGGTGGCCAGGCCAGGGTGTGCCTGGCTTTCTTCAGACGGAGCTAAATTCATACCAGGGAAAGTCTACAGGGTATCTGGACCCCTGAATTCTTAATGAGGCAAAAATGCTTCTAACCCAGGCCAAGGCATCGATGCTGTCAAACCTGATACATCCCTGTTTATGGGGGGTCTGTCCTTGATGCAGCTTGTGCCAGCTGTGCACAAGGAACTTGTGAGGACCTGCAACTCATTTCTACCGAAGTGATCACATGGTTTACGAAGGATGGATGAGAAACAACAGTGCCTTCTTGGCATATTTCCAGCATTGCTGTCTGATGGGTTACAAAGGCCTGGGATGGTGGCAGCAGAAAAGCTACCTGTGGGCTGAAGACGCTGCACTAGGAGTTTGGAGCAGCTTTGAGGGTCAGTAGAAAACAGCCTGCCACATGTCTATGACAGGAAAAAACCATATCACTCTGAAAGGGAAAATAAGCCAAACCAGCTGGTAAACCATCTTTGTTCTTGACACAACTATGGCAGCATTTTGCTCTTGACAATACTGGAACAAGATATTTCCGTAAAGGAGCTCTCTTTGATTTATCTGTGTCTGTAAAGTGTTTGCCTGTGACAACAGATCAGCCACTACTGCTTCTTTGCCAGTCATTTGAACAAGCAGGACAGCCTGAGTGGTATTGCCAAAGTTTTTCTTTGATATGTGTAAAAATGGAAGAGCTCAAGGTATTACTTGAGGTTTTCTTTGACTCAGTGTACAATGGATCTTGACTGAATTTGTCTTAATGAATGTAAAAAGTAAGCTATGAACATGTATCAGTTATTTTTACTGCAGCAGTTTTCAGAGGCACCAAACAGGATTAAGCAGCTTTTGTTTCTAGCAATAAAGAGGCAAAACAAACCTTTTCTTGAGACATTTAAAATGGAGAACCTTTAAACAGATCTTCGTATGGAAGACTTGCAGAACCCTATTTGCTGTAATGATGTAAGAATCTGAGTATGAAGCACTTCCAGCATCAGGTATCATGAATCATATTCTCAGACCAGTGCATAACCTTTTTTTCTATGATATTACTTATTATTATAAGTAATATGATTACTTATATGATATAACTGCTTTTATTTACGCCAGCCCCAGTGATCTACTTAGAACCTCCTAATAATCCTCACTGTTAAGCCACAAGCTTCTAACCTGCTTTTTTTTCATCAGTGTCCCGAAGTCCTCCTTGGTGAAGACAGATCTCCTCACTCCAGATGTTTTCTTTCTCAATACATCTAGATCTCAAGGCATCCTCTCAGTAAATTTTGATGCAGAAACCCTAATGATTCTTCAAATAGATTCTGAATGGGCAGCCCACAGTAGCAACTGATGGGGTTTTTTTTGCTCTAGTTTTGCATTTAGCACTTTCAGGGAGCTAAGATGTTATTTAGTACTATCTGTCTCAGCAACTCAGGAACATGAATGTCACAGTCACTTTTATCATGACCTCATAACCTCAGTAAGCTCCTTTGCAAAGGTGCAGACTGAATCTTTGGGGTTGGGAGCTCTTATTTTCTGAGTGATACAGAATTTTTAGCATAAATGTCATCTTGTTTGTTTTCTTTTCACATGCCAGCTTCCTGTTGTTAGCATTTGTTGGTTCTAAAAAAAGGGAAGACATCATTTCTATTTAAGTTGCACAGATGCAAGTATTTATTTTGACAATGACAAGAAATGCCAAAGATGAGAAAGTTTACCTCTCTGTTTCACTCTCGCAGAGTGAAAATGATTTATCTTCACAAAGACAAGAAAAGGCAGAAAAGAAAACTGCAGCTGCAACATCTTTGCTAGAACTTAGACAAGAGTCTTATTTGTTAAACAGTACATGCTGAGAATAAGAAAATCCAGGTTTCAGTAATCATCGTCCATGGAATTCTAGCCAGTCTCTCATAAAATATTCTAAATATTTTAACAACATGTTTCCTCAAGGCAGAAGAAATGTATACCTATATTTTATTTGTTGTTCCCAACAGTAGGTGATATATATATATATATATATATATATAGGTTTCTAAGGAAAAAAAAAAAGAAACCAAAAGGAAACACAAAAAAATTTACAACAGACAAATGAAAACAACAGTTTAGGGAGATAAACTGTCTCTGGCAAGAAGAACAAAAAAGGGGATGATAAGAAAGGACAAAGAGCAAGAAAAAATTCTAATCTGTTTATTTTTTGCATTGCACACTTGTATTACCTTCCTGCCATGTATCCAAAATTGAATGGTTTAAGAAGGAGAATGTAGCAGGGCCTCCAAGCTTTTATGCTAAGAGGAGCAGGGCTGTTTTCTACAGGCAGCTGTGTGAGGGAAAGTGTTACCATGCCAGGCTGTCAAAGTTTCCTCCTCCACTGCTAAAGCTCTTGCACTGCATTCCTTGACCCATTTCAGTCAGGGTCCTCCAAGCTAACACAGACCTGCTGTCTTAAAAGACGCTGCAAGCATTAAGTCCTCTAGGGAGGAATGAGGTATCCAGGATCTAGAGCAAGTTTTTCAACACAAACACTTTGATAGCTACAATCTGACCTCACTAAATCAACACGTGCCTGGGAAATTGTATTTCCTTAGCCAGTTCTGATGATCTATCTTAGCTTATCTCACTAACATGGGGGCAACAAATTGATACCAATATCCACTGCTATATTATACACTTAGAATGAATGACAAATGCTGTAGATGCTACATTATTAGAACTATTTCTGGAGGAGGAGAAAAAATAAAACAAGTTAATTGTTTTTGGAGAGTAAAAAAATCAAAGTAAAAAGTTCTCTTGCTTTTTTTTTCTTTTTTTTTTAAATCTGAAACATTTCTATATAGCAATAGTGAAATATCAAAGTTGATATTTGCAAATAAAGTACATTATCACATGTGAACAAAATAGTTTGCCTTCAGTAAGTGAAGAAAGAACGAGTGACAAGGGCCTTAGCACAGAGTTGAAGGTATACAGACATATTAAGAAACCTTTATGCATGGAGAGCCTTAATCACTCAAAGGACAGGATTTTACTAAGCTCAGCCAGAAAAATGATTTGATTCTATTTACTGAAGCTTAATGGAAGGTGAAAAAGTAATTTCTTGGGGAGAGAACAAATGTCAACTTGTTATTCTTGACACCTAATTGGACATTTATTTCACTTCTGTATGTTGTCTGGAGCAACATTTTAGAATTTGTAAATAGGGTCACTGAAGACAAAAGCAGGATGTACCCTTGGAAACATCATGTCTTACCTTCATGTATCATTGTTTTAAGTATCTAGACTAGCTGTCATCTCATGGAATGATGGATGCTCTCTTCTTTCACAGACACTGAGGATGTCAAAACCTCTAAAGCCCTCAAGGAAAGCATCTCTCCAGATTCAGCTTGGCCCTGGAAACTGAAATGTTATTTTAATTGTGTTCTAAAGAAAAGCTTTCGAGAAACATATTTTAGGAGGTATCAGGTGCTTCATCTTGCCAAAGTTTCACATTTTCTCTGCAATAGTACATAAATCCCTTTTTATAATGGTACATAAACTGACTTAAATTGATTCGTTTCTTCAAAGATAAGATTATGAGAGTAAATACAAAGAACAGTAACATATGGCCCTTGAGAAGGAAAGAAATCAGGTGATAAACTTCTAATGAACTGTATGGGAATTTAAGGCACAGAACAAAAGATGAGGCTAAATTCTTCTTTCAGATTGGAATGGGTAGGAGTGCACACAAGTGATCCTGCATATCATCCACTGAGAACATTTAGAGAGTCACATTCCAGAAATGTATTGAAAAGCTGTCAAGAAGAATAACTGATTTAATGAACTGTGTCAACACATTTGCAGGAAGCACCAGATTATAATTTGCTCTCCCTTAGTGACATTTTAAGCAACTGAAAAATTGCTTTTACTAGGAGTATTATATTGTACAATATTATTAGCTTTTATGATATGAATCTATTTTGAACAAAATTTACTCAGTTCCTAACTTCTTAGCTGTACTTCATACACTATTTTTAAAAAATATATTCAGCCTTTTCATTCAATCCTAAACATTCTCCTTTCTCCAAGTTTTGCCTTAATGCTTTAACTTATTTTAATGTACTCTTTCTAAAGAAATTTTTCTAAAGAACTTTAAAGTTCTAAAGAACTTTTTTTCCTAATATTTCCTTAATCGAGGAAGACAGAAAAAGGACTTGCTTCATTGCCTGGAGGAGTAACTCAACTGAAGTTCAAGGCTCATGAACACATTCTCCATGGTTAAACAAGGAAAGTTTTTATTGTGATTAGACACAATGAAGCAATTAACAAAGTTTAGGAAAATACTTGACTGAATAGGAAAACACTTCCAATTTTGTAATGGTCAAGGAGCTGCCCAGCTAGATTTCATCCTTGACATATGAAACTTGCTTATTTTATTATCTTAGTCAAATCAAGATGTGGCGGTGGAGGGGAGAGCCAGCAACTAAACTCACAAACCTGCTCACTGCCTGCTGCGTTTCTGACCACCTGAGGCTCTGCTGTGCTCAGGTTGTGTCAGGCACAGCTGACCCCAGCCCCTCAGTTCCAGACATACTCACGCAGGAGCCAAGGCAGCCACACATGTTGGAAAGCCCCAAGACATTCTGCAAGCCAAGTATGGAAGCCTCACTTGTTATGGATTTTTTTTTCATCAGTGTCCCGATGTTTCAGTGGTGCCTATGACTGCCAATTGAGGGTTTTTTCCCAGTTACTAGACACTTATTAGACCTGTCTTAAAAGAAGATTTTTAACTCTAGATGATGTGAGATCATGCTGTAGAATCTCTTTCTACTAGGTCTCACACACAGTTTTGCCTTCTGACTGGTGCATACTTAAAACTTGCTATATTGCTACCTACAAGAGTCCCCTTCATTCAAACACAACTGACATTGGTAACTGATCCTTCTGGGATCAATGGTCCTCCTTTCATTTCCTCTCCTTCTCTAGTTCATCTGGTTTCCGTCTCTTGTTGAAAATACAAGGGAATGTTCAGGAGCAAGTGTTTCATTTTTTTAATCCTTACTATCATGTTACTATACCAAGAGGTGTAATCTTCTACTGGCATCCCATGGGTAAATGACAATTCAGTTAGCTTTCACCCCACTTGGAGGCAAGACTATGACTTAAAGAATTGAGAAGGCTAGTGAGTCTCAGAAAGAGTTCAGGGAACCTGCAAGAGAAGCAATGGGAGTTTGTTGCTTTTAACTTTACTGAAGTGATTAAACATGGAACCGTGAATAAATTGAAAATAAGGGTATATAAATATTAATAAAAGGGAAAATATAGGTAATGGGATTCACATCAACTTAATACGGAGGAGAATCTGCAAGCTTGAAGATACAAAGTACTTCAGCGCTGGCCGTGTTGTTGGAGGGTAGATCTTAAAGAGCGCCCACTATTAACTCTGGCAGCAGCCAGGGTTCCGACCGAACCTTTCTGCACGGCCATGCCGGTAGCGCGGGCAGAGGCGCTCCCGAAACAGCCGATCCCGCCGCAGCGCCGCTCTGGAGCCGAGAGGCTCGCACCGCTCTGCGCCGGGGCAGCTCAGCCTGCGGGAGCCTCTGCTCCAGCCGCGGCCACCCGCCCGCAGCTTCTGGGGTGCCACCCCCACACATGTATGTATATGTACATATATACATGTACACAGGGGCTTCCCAAAGCGCCCCTCGCTTGGGGCGGCCGCGGAGAAGCGGGAGGAGGGACCGGCGCCCCGGGCTGCGGTGAAGGGGCGCTCCCCCACCTGCCGCTCAGAGGGAAGGAGGGAGAGGAGGGCGGAGCGGTTCCCATCCCGTCGCCTTCGGGAAGCAGCCGCGGGTGGGAGCGGGCGCCGGGCACGGGTGGGTGGGGAGCGGGCGCAGCCTCTGCCCGCAGGCTGGGGGCGATGGCGCCGTGCCCACCCCGCGGCCACCCGGGATGAGCCGTGGGTGAGCCCGGCTGCTCCGGGGGAAGTTGAAGGCTGTGTCCCCGGCGGGTCGCTCGGCCGGCTGCGAGGGGGCGGGGGGCGCCGGGCGCCCGAGGAGGAGCCCGAGCATTCCCACGGCGGGGACAGCCGGCGAGCGGGCGGCGGGGCTTCATGGGCTGCCCACGCCAACATGGTGCTCGCCCTCAACGGCAGCCACCTCTACGGTAACCTCCGGCCCCTGGTCCTGGAGGACCCGCGGGCGCTGAGCGGCGGCAGGATGATCGCCGGCTCCTGGCCCCCGCGCAGCCTGGCCAAGCTCGGTCCGTCTCCTGCCCCGTCGGCGCTGCCCACGGCGAGCCCCCTCCCCGCCAACGACTCCCAGTGCGGAGAGCAAATCCTCAGCTACGGCAACGTGGAGAAAGTTCTCATCGGGGCCGTGCTCTGCCTCATCACCCTTCTGACCATCGCCGGCAACTGCCTGGTGGTAATCTCTGTCTGCTTCGTGAAGAAGCTGCGGCAGCCCTCCAACTATCTCATCGTCTCGCTGGCCCTGGCAGATCTCTCGGTGGCCCTGGCCGTCATGCCCTTCGTCAGCGTCACGGACCTTATCGGCGGTGAGTGGATCTTCGGGCGCCTTTTCTGCAACGTCTTCATCGCCATGGATGTCATGTGCTGCACGGCCTCCATCATGACCCTCTGCGTGATAAGTATCGACAGGTGAGAGAGCCCCGATGCTCCGCGGCTTGCCCTGCCCTCCCGAGCACCGGGGACGGCCGTGGCGCTGGCGTGGGGTCTGTGAGCGGTCCCACCAGCCATCCCCTGCTTCCTCCTCCGGGTCCCTTGGAAGTGAGCCGCAGACGTGCTCTGAGCAGGGAGTGAGGCGAATGCCAGCCCTCAGCCTTTCTGTTCGAAGGAGCCCGCCGGAGCAGGGTGTGCTGCCGCCCCTATCCCAGCCCAGATGCCTGCTTATCCCTCTGGGTAACTACCCTGCTGTCACTGCAGACCAGAGGTCTCAGAGCAAAACTGAACCTAAACTGTTAACGTTTACTGTGGCTCCATACAAGTAATGAGGCATTTGCAGCCACGTTAATATTTGAAATATATGTCTTTAAACTGCTTTATACCACAGCTAGATTTGAGCTGATTATTCCGAAGCTGGTGAAAGTGTAACCTCGCTGGGTTCAGCGGAGTTTTACCAGATCAGAGAAAGTGCAGGAATTATAGCTTGTTTTATCTTTATTCTAGGACACTGGCAGAATAGCTCAATTTCAACCAACAGAACCATTTTTGACAAGTAATGTTTTGTTTGAAGGAAAAATTGCTTTTAAATGTTTGCTTTGTAAAAGTTTTCATCTGCTCTCTCAAAAATCAGGTTATGGTCATTAACGAAATAGCTACTTCTAAAAGATATAGGCACTGAGGCAACAAGGAGGTGTATACAGACTGCAGAAGAGGATCTTAGGTGTTCAACTGTGATGTCAGGGCCAAACCTAAGGTTTCACATTTGCCTGTGTCTGAGCTCTCCTCTGCAGAGGAAGGCTAACAGTTTCCTTTATTCCGTGCAGGTCCTGTTCTAAAGTAACTTGCAGCCTCTTCCACAGCTTAAACTCCATGCCAAGAATTTTGGCATCACGGGGGTAACTTTTCATTACAACTCCGCACAACTGGCAGAAATTGAAGAACTTCATAACTAGATTGTAGAAGCAGTTTACCAAGTCCAATATCTGACAAAAACCTTGACTCTTTACTTCAGAAAGTATTTGGAAAGAACTCTGCATTAGGTTTCTGCAGAGAGACAGTCTTTTTTAAAAGTTTCCTGCAATAAATGGAGGCTGTTTTATTCCAAGGAGCACCACGGTTTATATTAATTTCAAAACTTTAATTTCTGTATAAGCATCCCCTGCTCCAGTGATCTTTATTTTGTAACTTCTATATTGAGCAGTACTTGGTTGCTGCAAAGCATCTTGTAGCAATGAAATCTACATACAGAGTATCAAAAGGTGTTGTGTTTGTTTTGTTTTTTGTTTTGTTTTTAATTGATGTTGCCTTGAAATTTGCTATTTTTAACTTAATTCCAGTACTGTAAGAAAGTAGGAGTAGGCTTATCTGCCTTCCCAATATTATTCTCTGTTTTTCTATACTACCTATTTCTAGGACTAATGATTTCATTTTTCTGCTCTCTCCTCATAAAGTAATCCCATTCTTTGATTATTCTTGATCTTCATATCTGAGCTCTCCACTTCCATTTCAACCCTTTGAAGACAGGTTAACATGTGTTTAAGCTTTCTTACCCAAATACGGATGTGTGACTGACTCCCACTGTAGAACTGTGTTTTCTTAGTTTAACATTTGAGGTCACTGCTGTATGATTAACGGGGGCTTTCACTGAACTGGTCACAGTTGTGATTGTGTCTTTTGCTGTCTTCTTATTATACTCCCTCCACTCCCCTCTCCCAGCAAAATACTAATTAGAGATATCTCTGTATTTAGAACAGAATATAACCTGTTGTGAATGACTGATTTTCAACACCGAGTGCTGATTTAAACTGAAAGTATTTTCCTCTTGTCTTTGCATTCCCATTCTATCACTGAATGTTTGTTGAACATGATCTCTTTACACTTCATTATACTGTTGTCTACTCTCTACTTGAAATTAAAATTTTGTGAATTATGATGCTTTAACCTCTGTCACCCAAATCCATTATATAGTTAAGATAGATGATATCATCAGTAAAAGGAGACAAACCAACAATTCATTAGCAAAATGTCTCTACTACCCAACAATAAAAGAAATCTCCATGATTTCTGATCCTATTTAAAAATAAGTAAACTTGTACTAGTGAAGCGCTGCACAGTCAGGGCTAAGATTAGTTTGGGATGAACTAATATTTGAATAGTGAAGATGTATAAAATATGCAAGCCAGGGAGAAATTAGGAAAATTAAATGTGAATGATGAAATGTTGCCAGCGTAGCACTAATTTAAATTTAATTTTAATTAAACTGTCTTACCAGCAGTTGTTCTTACATGTATGTAGTTAGGAAATCCTTGAATGATCAGTGAGACAGATTTATCTCTGAAAAACCACATACCTCTAGATTAAGCATTATATGTAGTATTGGGGCTGCAAATCACAATGTATATAGTGCATTAGAGGGTCAGATTTTCACAAAGTCCATTTTTCCATGGGTTTGATGGAAACACTAGCATGTTTTCTGTTATTTAGGAGAAGATCATCAATGATACAGCCTTTATTAGCCTTTCTATCTCAGTGCAAAGAATACAATATCCAGAAGCTGGGAAAGAAGGAATTAAATTAACTCACTTTCCTTCAAGCTGGCACTATCCTCAGAGCCATTGAGATGCACTTGAACTTTGTAGCACAATTAAGTATCCTGGGGTCACATGGGAGACATTTTTTTAGGAAGAAGGTTAAGACAGGACAAATAGGAATAGGAACATTTTTTTAAGAATGATTATGAATGGCACTGTCACCTGGCTCTTTAGGACACTTTAGGAAACCTTTATTGGGATGCACCTTCCTGAAGAGAAAGGTAAGGCTATTGCAGACAGGAAATAAGATGGCTATTTGAAAATTTAATTATTAGGTTCTTTCTGAAACAGATATGAGAATCAGGTAAATAGCTGAAAAAATATTACTATTGAATTAACCTTAAAAAGAAAGAGAGTTTGTTGCAAACTGCTAAGCAAGGTGTGTAAAAAGAGGTAATATCTTTTATTAAACAAACCGTTACATCAGTCAAAAAGAGGCTTTGAGGAGCTTCCAAACAGGATAAAATGAGTAAACTGAGAAGGCTTTTTGATTTGTTTCCCTTGCACAAATATGTGCTACTCAGCTTACGCCACTGAGAGCCCTGAAATGCCAGCAGCTGGCAGGCCTATTGCTCACAGAGATGTTTTGATGCACAGCCCTTAGTGGCGGATGTGTTTTTTAGCTGAATCTATCAGTTGGAAAGCTCTGAAAGATGCAGATTAGCCTTGAATCTACCAATGGGCTGCTTTCATTCTGCTGGAAAGCCTTGTATTTTTTTTTCCTAGCACTTATCATATTTTTTAAATTGTTTCTCCTCTTGAGTTGCATAAATGTTAAGGGTGCAAAGTAGATGTTAGTGTGCTATTATGGGGATGTCTAACTTTGTGTAGGGTGCACAAGGAAGAAGCTAGGTTGAGAAGGTCTTTCTATTATCCACAAAGATCTAAATTTGTGGAGATACAAGATTTGAACTATTATGCATTTCTTCAGATCATATCTGCCCTTTCGTTTCACAAAATGAAAACCTTCACAGATCTGTATCAGGGTGACTTCAGATGAACGTGTGACTTTTTAGGCATCTCATTCAAGCCCCACTTTGGAAGAAGGCTATCTGCTTACAGGCAGGTCAGTCAGAACTAAACCATATATGATGGAGGGACAAGAGTTTCTCCCTTTTCAGATTTCATGAGAATTAAACAAGCAAGACAGCTTGATACTCAGACAGTCAATATTACCTGTGCTATTCTTGCCATCCATGATGATATGAGGATTAGCTCTGTAGAAAGGTAGGAGCTACATAGATTTTGGCAGCAAAATTGAGTCTCAGTGAATAGTAGTCACCTTTAAGCCTTTACATTCTTTATGTTTAAGAGTGAGCAAACATTAGTAGTGAATTATGAGGGGTGTATACAAACCACATTCTAGTGGGGGAATGAACAAATAAAGGGAATTAATTGTATTAGAACTGGTGGTGCTTGCATGCTGATTCATCATGTTGTCCCGACCCAAGATAGCTACAGGAATGTTGTTTTGGAGAGTATCCACTGGATAACTGCATAAGTAGCAATTTTTGATTCAATTTAAAAATAGTTCTTTGGCTTAGAGAGTGATAAAGTAACATAACTACTCAGATACAGTTGATGAATTATAACACTTTCCCCACACCCACACAAGTAATGAAACACTTTTTGGGGAACTTTTCCAGTCTGTATCTTAGCCAACAGTTCACGAGTATTCCAGGCTTCCATTAAATTGATGAGAATTTAGAGTTTGTATGCAAGTAAGTGGGCCTTTTTGTTGATCCTGAGATTTTTATACACAAGTATCAGCTCTTTCTCCTTGTTTTGCCATGCTCCAAGTATGAATACTTATGCTTCTCCTTAGAGAACGTGTCAGAGCTCATTCCTTGGAGCTCATTCACTTCTCAAGTCCTTGTTCCATGCCTGAGCGCTGAGCACTTCCTCAAATGAAGTACTTGGAACTAAATTTAAATAAATACTTGAGTACTTCCAATAGAATCCAGGTGTCCAAATTCTACCTACATCCAAAACTGATAATATGACCTGAAAACTGTCAGCAATTTGCTAAACTTAACAGCACCTAATAGTCCTGTGTGGCTTCCTATTCAGTATGAAACTTTTTCTGCCTTCAGGGTGGAAAAGGCTGCGATCCATTCTGCCAACCCTGCTCAGGTCATTCATAAAAGACATGTATAGAAAACACACGTAGACTAGATATGAAAAAATTCTCAATGTAATACATTTCAGATCTAGAATAAATGTAGGCATCCACCAGCAGTTCTACTCATGAGATTTTGTTCATATATTTACACAGAAGTAACTGAGAAATGAGGAAAAGAAAACTATAGAAAAGAAACTATAGAAAAGAAACTATAGAAAAAGTGTGTGATGGAGTTACTGCAGTTAAGGTCTGTATTGCAGAAG